AACTCGGGGGCGACCTGTGCTGTAACATCTACTCACATTACCATCATATTGGAATCGTTGCCAAAGCCTGGAGATGACACTCTGGGCGATTCCAACTTCCTCGGATACTTCCAGCTGGGTACGTCCACATTCCAGTCGTCCGATAATTCTACCACGTAAAAAATCATCCAAATGCTTCCTTTGTGCCATAACTATGCGGATATTGCACTGAAAGGCTTTTAAAGCGCTTGTGAACAATTTTACTTCTTTGCCACCATTCCTTATATACCCCTCTCTTACACTCTCGTCATTGTGACGTACTATCCGCGCCATCTGGTGGTTTCCTGTAATTTGCATATTCTTCTTCAAGATGTGTGTGATAATTCTACAAGTGAAATTTTTATTTTAGAGTTCAATTTCTGTGTGATTCTGAATTATACTTAATTTATGGACATGAGTGTAATAAGTTGTTTGTGTTGATGTGTCAAAATTCTCGTCTTCAAGAAGAAGGAAAATAATCTTTGTCTGTTGATTTTTTTTCTTTTCATATTCCTCTGAAGACTTATCGTAAACAAATGCTTATTAAACATTTAGAACTGATCGTTCCATGATTATCTGCTATTAGTAATGGTCATCTACTGGTCATCACATGTCCATATAAAACCAAAACCAGTTGATCATTTGATTCGAAATGCTTCATATGCGAACAAATATTGTTGGGTTTGATTCACCTTATCAGATCCATACAGTCGATTGCTTGTTGTTTTCAAGGTCATAATCCTAGATCCAAGATTCGTCACCTGTATAAACGTTGAGTACAACTTTTGACACACCACGATTATTTTGATGTATTTCTTTCCCCCAATCAGCAAGGTTCTGCTTTAGAAAGATTATCAAATTATGCGAAATTTGTCGATAATAAGTTTTGTCACAGCTAAATTAACAAGAATTCTTTTTCAGTTTTCTCAGATAATGCTACACATCTTTCGGCGCACATCTCCCGTAAAGTTAGACACAATTAGCATTGTCTTCTCCTTATTTACCTATAGGTTCTGCTCGGTTTGGACATCAAGAAGAGATTCTAAAGATAGTATTCTAAAAGGATGGTTTAAAAGTGTTAATAGTATTAATAGGAACAAAATTCAAAAATTATTACTAAAATACGGATATCGCTCCCGTGGCCTCATGGATAAGGGAACCATTCTCCTAAATCTCAGATAGCGAATTCGACTTCCGACGATAATTAAAAGTAACATTTTTTGTACATTCCTAATTCTATGAAGCATTCAAGGATACAAAGGCTACATTAGGGGTACAAAGAAGTCCACCTCTACGTGGTGTACCCTGGGTTATACAAAATAAACTATACGCCTAAGTCTAAAACCATGCCTGGATAGTCGTCCTCTCACTTACTGTTCTGTTAATGGTGCTGCAGCTGGCGCTGTGACTAATTACGTCAAGAATGCAAGAAAGCAGGCCGCCAAGGGTACAAGGTGCGAGAACCTCAACATACCGAAGGACCTCCCTAGGAGACTTGTGGTTGTCACCTTCCACCGGCACTTTTCCACCGGACACGACTACCTATAATAGCATCGGGGTCCCTGTCTCGCCAGCCTGCCCACTTTGCTCCAAATGTAACGGCGCAGTCGACCACCTCCCATCTTGCAGTGCACTTGACGATGTCGACCGCGACAGAAGGTACGAGGGAATGGCAAATCTACACTGCCCGGCATGGCGTCGAATGGCCGAGAGGCCACGGACGGGCGTTGGCTGAAGAAGAATAAGAAGGGGGCATTCTTACGTTACTTATCCTTAGTATTTATCTAACAATGATACACATCTAAATGAGCCAGCGTCCATTAAGAATGTATCGGAGTCAAGACAAGAGTCGAAAAATTATATTTAACTTCAAAATTTCATCTTCATATCTTTCTATTTATCTTCATACTTATGCCTTCTTCTTATTTCCTGCGATTTTTGCACTGCTTAACAAACTATAGTGTTTATTCTGGCGTTACTAAACTACGTGAGATTCTGAAAGGAGAACATGATGTTTTAGTTCTGTTTTTAAATGTCAAAATAAAATAATTTCAGTAGTTTATATGCAAATTTGCATGTCACCCTCTTCGCCCAAGGGATAGTAGCCTGGTGGCCAATTGGATAGTGCTGTCGACATTGATACTACAGGTTCAAAGTACGATTCCTGGCGGTTGCATGTTTGAATGTAAGGACTCCTTGAAAGCTGAACACGTGTCACAATCATCATTGAAACAAATACATTCACCTTTATATTTATGCCTATGCTTATTTTCTGGGAGTTATTATTAGTTAGCCAAGCAGTACATGTCAGCAAATTATTACACAAAGATTAAAGGTGTTTTTAGGTTTGTTATTAGATTGTAGGTTTCTTGTTGCCCTCGGGACCTAATAGATAAGGCATCGGTCTCCTAAACCGGGGATTGCGGGTTCGAATCCTGCCGAGGGTAAATAGAATTTTTTTTTTGCACGTTTCAAAATCTAGCAAGAAATTCTTAAGTTAACTTTCCTTAGTATTTCTCTCACAGTCTACAGCTGTTGAATGTCAGGACTCCTCGAAAGAAGAACATGTATCACAATCAACACTGAAACCAAAAAATTTCCCTTTATACTTACTTCCTCTGAGTTACATAGAGTTTGGCGAAAAAAATTTTCAGCAAAAATTACAGGTGATTTTAGGTTTGTTTTTAGATGTGAAAATGAAATAACTTCAATATTTTATTGGCAAGCATACCTGTCGCCCTCTTGGCCTAATGGATAAGACATCGGTCTCCTAAACCGGGGATTGCGGGTTCGAATCCCGCCGAGGGTACACAGCAGATTTTTTTGCACATTTTTAAATCTAGCAGGAAATTCTTAAGTTACCTTTCCTTAGTATTTCTCTCGCAGTCGTACAGCTGTTGAATGTCAGGACTCCTCGAAAGAAGAACACGTATCACAATCATCACTGAAACCAATAAATGTCCCTTTATACTTACTTCCTCTGAGTTATATATAGTTAGGCGAACAAATAATTTTGGCAAATTTTTAAGCAAAAATTACATGCGATTTTAGGTTTGTTGTTAGATGTTAAAATGAAATAACTTCAATATTTTATTAGAAACATACTTGTCGCCCTCGTGGCTAATGGATAAGGCATCGGTCTCCTAAACCGGGATTGCGGGTTCGAATCCCGCCGAGGGTACACAGCAGATTTTTTTTGCACATTTTTAAATCTAGCAGGAAATTCTTAAGTTACCTTTCCTTAGTATTTCTCTCGCAGTCGTACAGCTGTTGAATGTCAGGACTCCTCGAAAGAAGAACACGTATCACAATCATCACTGAAACCAATAAATTTCCCTTTATACTTACTTCCTCTGAGTTATATACAGTTAGGCGAACAAATAATTTTGACAAATTTTTAAGCAAAAATTACATGCGATTTTAGGTTTGTTGTTAGATGTTAAAATGAAATAACTTCAATATTTTATTAGCAAACATACTTGTCGCCCTCGTGGCCTAATGGATAAGGCATCGGTCTCCTAAACCGGGGATTGCGGGTTCGAATCCCGCCGAGGGTACACAGTAGATTTTTTGCACATTTTTAAATCTAGCAGGAAATTCTTAAGTTACCTTTCCTTAGTATTTCTCTCGCAGTCGTACAGCTGTTGAATGTCAGGACTCCTCGAAAGAAGAACACGTATCACAATCATCACTGAAACCAATAAATGTCCCTTTATACTTACTTCCTCTGAGTTATATATAGTTAGGCGAACAAATAATTTTGACAAATTTTTAAGCAAAAATTACATGCGATTTTAGGTTTGTTGTTAGATGTTAAAATGAAATAACTTCAATACTTTATTAGAAAACATACTTGTCGCCCTCGTGGCCTAATGGATAAGACATCGGTCTCCTAAACCGGGGATTGCGGGTTCGAATCCCGCCGAGGGTACACAGCAGATTTTTTGCACATTTTTAAATCTAGCAGGAAATTCTTAAGTTACCTTTCCTTAGTATTTCTCTCGCAGTCGTACAGCTGTTGAATGTCAGGACTCCTCGAAAGAAGAACACGTATCACAATCATCACTGAAACCAATAAATGTCCCTTTATACTTACTTCCTCTGAGTTATATATAGTTAGGCGAACAAATAATTTTGACAAATTTTTAAGCAAAAATTACATGCGATTTTAGGTTTGTTGTTAGATGTTAAAATGAAATAACTTCAATATTTTATTAGAAAACATACTTGTCGCCCTCGTGGCCTAATGGATAAGGCATCGGTCTCCTAAACCGGGGATTGCGGGTTCGAATCCCGCCGAGGGTACACAGCAGATTTTTTTGCACATTTTTAAATCTAGCAGGAAATTCTTAAGTTACCTTTCCTTAGTATTTCTCTCGCAGTCGTACAGCTGTTGAATGTCAGGACTCCTCGAAAGAAGAACACGTATCACAATCATCACTGAAACCAATAAATTTCCCTTTATACTTACTTCCTCTGAGTTATATACAGTTAGGCGAACAAATAATTTTGACAAATTTTTAAGCAAAAATTACATGCGATTTTAGGTTTGTTGTTAGATGTTAAAATGAAATAACTTCAATATTTTATTAGAAAACATACTTGTCGCCCTCGTGGCCTAATGGATAAGGCATCGGTCTCCTAAACCGGGGATTGCGGGTTCGAATCCCGCCGAGGGTACACAGCAGATTTTTTTGCACATTTTTAAATCTAGCAGGAAATTCTTAAGTTACCTTTCCTTAGCATTTCTCTCGCAGTCGTACAGCTGTTGAATGTCAGGACTCCTCGAAAGAAGAACACGTATCACAATCATCACTGAAACCAAAAAATGTCACATTATACTTACTTCCTCTGAGTTATATATAGTTAGGCGAACAAATAATTTTGACAAATTTTTAAGCAAAAATTACATGCGATTTTAGGTTTGTTGTTAGATGTTAAAATGAAATAACTTCAATATTTTATTAGCAAAAATACTTGTCGACCTCGTGGCCTAATGGATAAGGCATCGGTCTCCTAAACCGGGCTTGCGGGTTCGAATCCCGCCGAGGGTACACATTAGATTTTTGTGCACATTTTTAAATCTATCAGAAAATTCTTAAGTTCCCTTTCCTTAGTATTTCTCTCGCAGTCGTACAGCTGTTGAATGTCAGGACTCCTCGAAAGAAGAACACGTATCACAATCATCACTGAAACCAATAAATGTCCCTTTATACTTACTTCCTCTGAGTTATATATAGTTAGGCGAACAAATAATTTTGACAAATTTTTAAGCAAAAATTACATGCGATTTTAGGTTTGTTGTTAGATGTTAAAATGAAATAACTTCAATACTTTATTAGAAAACATACTTGTCGCCCTCGTGGCCTAATGGATAAGGCATCGGTCTCCTAAACCGGGGATTGCGGGTTCGAATCCCGCCGAGGGTACACAGCAGATTTTTTTGCACATTTTTAAATCTAGCAGGAAATTCTTAAGTTACCTTTCCTTAGTATTTCTCTCGCAGTCGTACAGCTGTTGAATGTCAGGACTCCTCGAAAGAAGAACACGTATCACAATCATCACTGAAACCAATAAATGTCCCTTTATACTTACTTCCTCTGAGTTATATATAGTTAGGCGAACAAATAATTTTGACAAATTTTTAAGCAAAAATTACATGCGATTTTAGGTTTGTTGTTAGATGTTAAAATGAAATAACTTCAATACTTTATTAGAAAACATACTTGTCGCCCTCGTGGCCTAATGGATAAGACATCGGTCTCCTAAACCGGGGATTGCGGGTTCGAATCCCGCCGAGGGTACACAGTTGATTTTTGTGCACATTTTTAAATCTATCATAAAATTCTTATGTTACCTTTCCTTAGTATTTCTCTCGCAGTCGTACAGCTGTTGAATGTCAGGACTCCTCGAAAGAAGAACACGTATCACAATCATCACTGAAACCAATAAATTTCCCTTTATACTCACTTCCTCTGAGTTATATACAGTTAGGCGAACAAATAATTTTGACAAATTTTTAAGCAAAAATTACATGCGATTTTAGGTTTGTTGTTAGATGTTAAAATGAAATAACTTCAATACTTTATTAGAAAACATACTTGTCGCCCTCGTGGCCTAATGGATAAGGCATCGGTCTCCTAAACCCGGGATTGGGGGTTCGAATCCCGCCGAGGGTACACAGCAGAATTTTTTGCACATTTTTAAATCTAGCAGGAAATTCTTAAGTTACCTTTCCTTAGCATTTCTCTCGCAGTCGTACAGCTGTTGAATGTCAGGACTCCTCGAAAGAAGAACACGTATCACAATCATCACTGAAACCAATAAATGTCCCTTTATACTTACTTCCTCTGAGTTATATATAGTTAGGCGAACAAATAATTTTGGCAAATTTTTAAGCAAAAATTACATGCGATTTTAGGTTTGTTGTTAGATGTTAAAATGAAATAACTTCAATATTTTATTAGCAAACATACTTGTCGCCCTCGTGGCCTAATGGATAAGGCATCGGTCTCCTAAACCGGGGATTGCGGGTTCGAATCCCGCCGAGGGTACACAGCAGATTTTTTTGCACATTTTTAAATCTAGCAGGAAATTCTTAAGTTACCTTTCCTTAGTATTTCTCTCGCAGTCGTACAGCTGTTGAATGTCAGGACTCCTCGAAAGAAGAACACGTATCACAATCATCACTGAAACCAATAAATTTCCCTTTATACTTACTTCCTCTGAGTTATATACAGTTAGGCGAACAAATAATTTTGACAAATTTTTAAGCAAAAATTACATGCGATTTTAGGTTTGTTGTTAGATGTTAAAATGAAATAACTTCAATATTTTATTAGAAAACATACTTGTCGCCCTCGTGGCCTAATGGATAAGGCATCGGTCTCCTAAACCGGGGATTGCGGGTTCGAATCCCGCCGAGGGTACACAGTAGATTTTTGTGCACATTTTTAAATCTATCATAAAATTCTTAAGTTACCTTTCCTTAGTATTTCTCTCGCAGTCGTACAGCTGTTGAATGTCAGGACTCCTCGAAAGAAGAACACGTATCACAATCATCACTGAAACCAATAAATGTCCCTTTATACTTACTTCCTCTGAGTTATATATAGTTAGGCGAACAAATAATTTTGACAAATTTTTAAGCAAAAATTACATGCGATTTTAGGTTTGTTGTTAGATGTTAAAATGAAATAACTTCAATACTTTATTAGAAAACATACTTGTCGCCCTCGTGGCCTAATGGATAAGGCATCGGTCTCCTAAACCGGGGATTGCGGGTTCGAATCCCGCCGAGGGTACACAGCAGATTTTTTTGCACATTTTTAAATCTAGCAGGAAATTCTTAAGTTACCTTTCCTTAGTATTTCTCTCGCAGTCGTACAGCTGTTGAATGTCAGGACTCCTCGAAAGAAGAACACGTATCACAATCATCACTGAAACCAATAAATTTCCCTTTATACTTACTTCCTCTGAGTTATATACAGTTAGGCGAACAAATAATTTTGACAAATTTTTAAGCAAAAATTACATGCGATTTTAGGTTTGTTGTTAGATGTTAAAATGAAATAACTTCAATATTTTATTAGAAAACATACTTGTCGCCCTCGTGGCCTAATGGATAAGGCATCGGTCTCCTAAACCGGGGATTGCGGGTTCGAATCCCGCCGAGGGTACACAGAGTTATATACGAGGGTACACAGCAGATTTTTTTGCACATTTTTAAATCTAGCAGGAAATTCTTAAGTTACCTTTCCTTAGTATTTCTCTCGCAGTCGTACAGCTGTTGAATGTCAGGACTCCTCGAAAGAAGAACACGTATCACAATCATCACTGGAACCAATAAATGTCCCTTTATACTTACTTCCTCTGAGTTATATATAGTTAGGCGAACAAATAATTTTGGCAAATTTTTAAGCAAAAATTACATGCGATTTTAGGTTTGTTGTTAGATGTTAAAATGAAATAACTTTATTAGAAAACATACTTGTCGCCCTCGTGGCCTAATGGATAAGGCATCGGTCTCCTAAACCGGGGATTGCGGGTTCGAATCCCGCCGAGGGTACACAGCAGATTTTTTTGCACATTTTTAAATCTAGCAGGAAATTCTTAAGTTACCTTTCCTTAGTATTTCTCTCGCAGTCGTACAGCTGTTGAATGTCAGGACTCCTCGAAAGAAGAACACGTATCACAATCATCACTGAAACCAATAAATTTCCCTTTATACTTACTTCCTCTGAGTTATATACAGTTAGGCGAACAAATAATTTTGGCAAATTTTTAAGCAAAAATTACATGCGATTTTAGGATTGTTGTTAGATGTTAAAATGAAATAACTTCAATATTTTATTAGAAAACATACTTGTCGCCCTCGTGGCCTAATGGATAAGGCATCGGTCTCCTAAACCGGGGATTGCGGGTTCGAATCCCGCCGAGGGTACACAGCAGATTCTTTTGCACATTTTTAAATCCAGCAGGAAATTCTTAAGTTACCTTTCCTTAGTATTTCTCTCGCAGTCGTACAACTGTTGAATGTCAGGACTCCTCGAAAGAAGACCACGTATCACAATCATCACTGAAACCAATAAATGTCCATTTATACTTACTTCCTCTGAGTTATATATAGTTAGGCGAACAAATAATTTTGGCAAATTTTTAAGCAAAAATTACATGCGATTTTAGGTTTGTTGTTAGATGTTAAAATGAAATAACTTCAATATTTTATTAGAAAACATACTTGTCGCCCTCGTGGCCTAATGGATAAGGCATCGGTCTCCTAAACCGGGGATTGCGGGTTCGAATCCCGCCGAGGGTACACAGCAGATTTTTTTGCACATTTTTAAATCTAGCAGGAAATTCTTAAGTTACCTTTCCTTAGTATTTCTCTCGCAGTCGTACAACTGTTGAATGTCAGGACTCCTCGAAAGAAGAGCACGTATCACAATCATCACTGAAAAAAATAAATTTCCCTTTATACTTACTTCCTCTGAGTTATATACAGTTAGGCGAACAAATAATTTTGGCAAATTTTTAAGCAAAAATTACATGCGATTTTAGGTTTGTTGTTAGATGTTAAAATGAAATTTAATAATATTTTATTAGCAAACATACTTGTCGCCCTCGTGGCCTAATGGATAAGGCATCGGTCTCCTAAACCGGGGATTGCGGGTTCGAATCCCGCCGAGGGTACACAGAAGATTTTTTTTAACATTTTTAAATCTAGCAGGAAATTCTTAAGTTACCTTTCCTTAGTATTTCTCTCGCAGTCGTACAGCTGTTGAATGTCAGGACTCCTCGAAAGAAGAACACGTATCACAATCATCACTGAAAAAAATAAATTTCCCTTTATACTTACTTCCTCTGAGTTATATACAGTTAGGCGAACAAATAATTTTGGCAAATTTTTAAGGAAAAATTACATGCGATTTTAGGTTTGTTGTTAAATGTTAAAATGAAATAACTTCAATATTTTATTAGCAAACATATTTGTCGCCCTCGTGGCCAAATGGATAAGGCCTCGGTCTCCTAAATCACGGATTGCGTGTTTGAATCCCGCCGAGGGTACACAGCAGACTATTTTGCACATTTTTAAATCCAGCAGGAAATTCTTAAGTTACCTTTCCTTAGTATTTCTCTCGCAGTCGTTCGGCTGTTGAATGTCAGGACTCCTTGAAAGATAAACACGTGCCACAATCATCACTGAAACCAATAAATTTACCTTTATACTTTTACCTCAACTAATTTTCTGTTAGTTATATACTGCGTGGCGGACAAATAACGTCGACAAATGTTTACGCAAATAACGAATAACCCGTCGCAGGCGACGGGTGCATGGCTAAGTGTAATATGCAGATTCACTTTTATCGAGGAACCACGAGGACTGACAATGCTCTACAATAATATTAGATTAAAACTTACTGTTTAAAGTGGATTCCGAACCACTACAACATTCATGAGACAACCGGGACTCGAACCTTTCAATTATAGTCGTTCAGCTTTCCCATATCAGTGGAAAGAAAATTTCTATTTCTCTAGGGCTTGATTAGGGGTTCTTCGTTCAAAACTATGGTGGTACAACTTCACCCACATCAGTCCTGAGAGGCTGGTTTGGTTTGTCGCTCTACGGTCATCTTGTGCTCACTTTAGGCTAAACAGACCGGGACCTACAGTTTAAAGTGGATTCCTAACCACTACAAACTTGAGATATGGCCTGAATGGCCTTATTGCCGTTCGTTCTAAACTTTGATTGCGTAACGTCACCCACATCATTTCTGCAACCGTAATGTATCATGTTATTTTCAAACACAGTGATATGTTCAGATGTAATGGTTTCAGTTCAAAACACTTACCAACGAACTATTCCTGATTGTATAAAAACTATTCGAATTTAAATAATAAAAATATCTAAATACTTGAATTACATTTTCAATAAATGTTCCATTAGATTTAGTTTAAATTAAATACGCTTGTGTAATAAATATGTCTCACTTACAGCACTGAAATGAAATTTTAAAACTTGAAAGAGTTCTATTCTTTTTTTTTTGTAAATAAAACATTACAAACATGCTTTAGATCATTCAATTTAAACATTTTACCTTTGATCTGAACCCGTATGGCCTCTTTTAAAATATGCAAATCCTTTAACTGCTTTAAAGATACTCTTTTATACTCTAAAAAGAGTCTTTTCCGGAAAAAATAATTGTAAAAAAATTGAAAGAAAATGGGAAATAAATAAACTAACGTGAATTGCTATGATACGAAACCAAATTTGTATATTTCTCGGAGAAACAAAATCCTAATTTCAGAATTTAATTTCCGAATCTCAAAATCTACTTTCTTTCACTTTATAAACCCGGTACTTGTATGTTTCTTTTTATTAATATTATTATTATTTTTATTTTTTTTGTATTCCCATTCAGCCGTGGGAGAATGCTATTTGCAAAAATTGCATAAAATGAAATTAAAGTTACTGGAACATAATTAGATTTTCCGGCTCTTAAGAGAAAGCAATCTCACCTTTAAGCTTAAGCGTTATTCGAACATTGAGTAAAAAAAAAGAAATCCTTTAAACTTATTAAGTTCCAGAGAAGTCCAGCAAATTCAGGTAAATCTTAAATACAATTAGAAGTCTTCAAGAACACTGGAGGATTAAGAAAAGGAGAATCTTCCAAATCTGGCGATTAAAAAGCAAAGTGTAAAATCTCTTGAAGTAATTACGTTACTCCAAAAATAAGATTTTCACTTAAAAGATCACTTCCTTTTACAGTTAAGAAAAACTTAAGATGTTTTTTTTTATATCAATAATAAGCTTTCTTTGAATATAAGTAAAGTATTCTAAAAATATTTCCTCTGGTTGTAATAGAATAATCCTAGCTAAATAAAAATGTGTTATTAATATTTTGGCATTCGAAATCGAATCGATTTTCATTTAATTAAAACCTTTCATTTTCTTGTTGTCGACAAACTAATTGAAATATAAATTTAAAAATAATAACTGTTTGTTAGTCTGAGAATTCTATTATTCATGCCAGATGTGTATATTATCTTTGCGTGATGTCAATTGAAAGGTTTCTTTGTTAAGGGAATTTAAACACTTGTTATTCCAGTGTAGTTCTTGTAATGGACCTATTATTGACTCAAACAGTTTGTCCGAAATGCGATTAATATAACAGTTTCAATTATTTTTCTAATTTCGATTTAAGGATTTTATTTTTTCATTTCATAAAATTCTTAGAATCGGTGTTTAAAAAATTTAAGTAATTAAGGTATTAGTTTCACATACACATGAAGACAAATTATTTTTTAATCAAAATATTTTGATCAAAATTTTTGTATTGAAATTTTTTTCCAACTTATTTTAGAATATAAATAATTTAAGTGTTTCAAGTAATTAAGGAATGTCAATAAGTGATTATTTATGTAAGTGCTTCAAAATTATTTTTTATATTCTTTAATTCAATATACAATAAATAAGTCAATAAGTAAAAGAATGTCAATAAGTGATTATAAATATATAAGAGCTTAAAAATTTATTTTTGGTATTCCTTAATTCTTAATTATATATATATATGAAAGATCCAACTTATTAAAGAATATTAACAATATAAGAGATTCAACTTATTAAAGAATATTAATACTATAAAAGTTCCACCTTATTACAGGATATCAATAATAGGAGGAAAAAAGTATATTTAATAGCATTAATGAATCACTCAAAAACTATTTGCGACAAATCAAATAAATATCCCACATCAGAGTAAACAAAGTACTATTCATACAAAGTTTGATTTAAGGCTATTCGTTAATGGACATATTAGCAACTGTTCAAAATTGTGATGGTACAACTTCACCCACATTAATCATGAGGAAAGTTTTATTTCTTCAGAAATGGCCTGTAGGGCGGTTTATTCTAAAATTTGGCTACATAACAACACCCACATCATTGAAGTAATTGTAATGTGTCATGTCATTTTCAGACCCAGTGATATGTTCAGATGTAATAGTTTCAGTCCAAAGCACTTATCACAGAGCTATTACAGATTCTATTTAAAAAAACTATTCAAATTTAAATATAAAATAATGTATAAATATTTGAATCGCATTTTCCAAAAATGTATCTTGATTTTTCCTATTAGATTTAGTTTAAAATAGCTGGTGTAACAACTATGTCTCACTTACAGCATTGGAATGCAATTTTAAAACTTAAAAGAGTTCTGTTCTTTTTTTGTAAATAAAGCATTGAAAACAAGCTTTAAATCATTCAGTTTCAATGTTTTACCTTTGATCTGAACCCGTATGGCCTCTTTTAAAATATGCAAATCCTTTAACTTCTTTAAAGATATTCTTTTATACTCTTAAAGGAGTCTTTTCCGGGAAAAAAACGGAAACAAAATGGGAAATAAATAAATGAACGTGATTTGCCATGATACGAAACCAAATTTGTATATTTCTCGGAGAAACAAAATCCTAATTCTAGAATTTAATTTCCGATTCTCAAAATCTACTTTCTTTCACTTTATAAACCCGGTACTCGTATTTTTTCTTTTCATTAATGTTATTTTTTTTTTTTTTTTTTTTTCCCATTCAGTTTCGGAGAATGCTATTTGCAAAAATTGCATAAAACGAAAGCAAAGTTACTGGAACATAATTAGATTTTCTGGCTCTTAAGGGAAAGCAATCTCACCTTTAAGCTTAAGCGCTATTCCAACACTGAATAAAAAAAAAAATCTTTTCAACTTCTTTAGTTGCAGAAAAGTCCAGCGAATTCAGGTAAATCTTAAATACAATTAGAAGTCTTCAAGAACACTGGAGGAATAAAATAAAAAAGAATCTTCAAAATCTGACGATTAAAAAGCGGAAGTGTAAAATCTCTAGAAATAATTAAGTTATTCCAAAAATAAGATTTTCACTTAAATGATCACTTCCTTTTACAGTTAAGAAAAACTTAAGATGTTTTTTTTTATATCAATAATAAGCTTTCTTTGAATAGAAGTAAAGAATTCTAAAAATCTTTCCTCCTGCTGTAATAGAATAATCCCATATAAATAAAATTGTGTTATTAATATTTTGGGCATACGAAAACGAATCGATTTTGATTTAATTAAAACCTTTCAGTTTTCTGTTGTCGACAAAGTAATTGAAGTATAAATTTAAAAAATAATATCCGTTTTTCTGGTATTAGTCTCAGACTTCTATTATTCATGCCAGATGTGCATATTATCTTTTCGTGTTGTGATGTCAATTGAAAGGTTTATTTGTTAAAGAAATTTAAACACTTGTTATTCCAAAGTAGTTCTTGTAGTGGATATATTATTGACACAAACAATTTGTCTGAAATGTGATTAATATATCTGTTTCCATTTCATTTTCTAATTTCGTATTAAGAATTTGACCTTTTCATTTCAATAAATTGTTAGAATCAGTATTTATAAAATTAAAAAAATTAAGGTATTAGTTTCACAAACAGATGAAGAACAAATTATTTTTTAATCAAAATATAGCTGAAATTTTTGTATAGCAATTTTTTTCAACCTATTTTGGAGTATAAATAATTAAAGAGTTTCAACTTATGATGTCCTCAAGAATTATTTTTGAAATTCTTTAATTCAATATCAAATGTGTCAAATAATGTCAATAAGGGATTATAAACATATAAGAACTTAAAAATTTATTTTTGGAATTCTTTAATTTGTAATTACATATATATACACTGAAGTGACAAAAGTCATGGGATACCTCTTAATATCGTGTCGGCCCTCCTTTCGTCCGGCGAAGTGCAGCAACTCGACGTGGCATGTACTCAACAAGTCGTTGGAAGTCTTCTGCAGGAATATTGAGCCATGCTGTCTCGATAGACGTCCATAATTGTGAAAGCGTTGATGGTGCAGGATTTTGGGCACGAACAGACCGCTCGATGATGTCCCATAAATGCTCGATGGGATTCATGTCGGGCGATCTAGGTGGCCAGATCATTCGTTGGAATTGTCCAGAATGTTCTTCAAACCAATCGCGAACAGTTTGTGGCCCGGTGACATGGCGCATTGTCATCCATAAAAATCCCATCG